TTCTCAAGTTGTATCGGTTTGTTAAGCACCCTTAAGCTTAACGGAGTTAGTGTAGCTCGAGAGAGTCTCTCGGGGGGCTGGATTAGCCACACGTTGTGGTGAACCAGGATAAAATTCGGTGTGCTCCTTCCTTACGCTCTTTACTTTAACGCTCTCGTTTTTAATTTCCTGCGATTTTGTTTTAAACGCTATTCACCCCCCCTCTAGCGTTGGGCCTTTATTCTAACAATTGGTATCAGAGCCATACTCTCTGAAAGACTTAACCGTTTGAGAGAAATGATCAATGGCTTCTACTCAAAGTTCATACGCAGGTTTAGGTGAAGGGCAATCCACCACGAGGCCTCCATTATTTGATGGAACGGATTACACATATTGGAAGGAGCGAATGAGAATTTTCATCCAATCCAACAACTTTATCCTATGGAGAATTATCAAGAATGGGGAAGAAGTGCCCATGAAGAAAGTTGGGGAAACCACCGTTCCCAAAACCGAAGAAGAATACGCTGCGCAGGATATCAAGAAAATAGAGAACAACGCCAAGGCTATCAACATTCTTTATTGTGCAGTAATCCCGGATGACTACCGGAAGATCTCTTGTTGTTCCACTGCCAAGGAAATGTGGGACAAGCTAGAAAATCACATATGAAGGTACGGATCAAGTCCGAGAAGCTAAGATAGATTTTCTAACCCATGAGTATCAACTATTTCATATGAAGGAGAACGAGAAAATCGACGATATGTTTGAACGATTTTCAAAAATCGTAAACGATCTTCATGCTCTCAAGAAGACAAACACAGACAAGGAGCTTGTAAGAAAAATCCTGCGGAGTCTCACACCGGAATGGCGCTCCAAAGCCGATACTATCCAAGAATCTATCGGCATCACTAGTGTCACCATTGACGGGCTTAGAGGTAACCTCAAAACCTATGAGTCTACCATTCTTTACCCCTCTTTAGGTGAACAAAAGAAGAATGGGATTGCACTCAAGGCGTCCACAAGTCAAGAACATGATGTGGAGGACTCGAGTGACAAAAACGAGTTTGGGATCGTGCTCAAGAAATTCCATAAGTTCATGAACCAAGAGTATGAACAGAAAGGAAAGAAGCAAGGAAGTCCACCCAAATGCTATGGGTGTGGAGAAGTTGGGCATATAAAACCAAAATGTCCAAACGCCAAGAACAAGAAACCGTTCAAGAAGCACCGAGCTTACATCTCGTGGGGAGGTGATTCCGGCGACGAATCATCGGAAGGCGAAGAAAAACGAAAGTGCCAACCTTTGCCTCATGGCACACAAGGAACCACCGGAAGAGGTATGTACCACTTCTAACGATTCCTACACCTTTGATGATGTTCAAGAAGCCTTCAATGAACTTTATGATGAATATGTCAACGCTTCTAAAATTAACAAGGATTTGAAAAAACAACTTCCTTCCATGGAGAAGGAAGTTGATAAACTATCAAAAGATAATGAAAAACTTAAAGAAGAAAATAAGTTTTTCGGGAAAAGAAGCGCCGACAAACCGGAGAGTTCAAAATGTAGTTCTTGTATATCACTTAAGGATCAAGTTGCAAAACTTGAAGGAACTTTGAATAAGTTTGGTGTTTCTCATAAAAACCTTAATGATGTTCTTGACAATTTGCAACTTACTAAACATGGCTTAGGTTTTGAAAATGAACCTAATAATAAGGAAAAAGTTGAGCAACCATCTAGGAAACCTAAAGCTCAACTTAGGAATAATGAAAATCAAGAAAGTAGACAACCTAGAACAATTAGGAACACTAGACCACCTAGAAAGAACACTAGGATGAACAATGATCAAGCTAGAAAACCTAACAACTATTATCAACCTAGGAGAATGCATAATCCAAATGTTATTTGTCATTATTGCAATAGGGTAGGTCATAAAGCACCCGTGTGTTTTAGTAGGCATAGGCATTACACGTATAACAAAACACACACTTTGCATGGAACTAACCGAATGAAATCCTTTGAAAAAGGATATTCGAACTCTAACCAATCCCTGCGGGAATCAACGCAAAAGAAACCATATTACTTCTTCTATTATGATGAAAAGAAGAAGATTCACATACCACTTCCGGAACCCACACAAATCAAACCGAGGTATAGACATTCGGTTCGAGTAGACTGGAACCCGCCAACCGCAAAACGACGAGTTGGCCAAGGTAACACTTAAACACGCGTGTGGGTACATGTGTGTGTGTGTGTGTTTGCGTACCATGTGTATGTGATTATGGGTGCGTGTGTTTATTAGTTTAAAAAGTCGTGTTACTAATCCTCAAGGACCCAAAAGACCAAACGGGTACCAAAATGTTTTTATTGTAGGCGTTGAAGTCAGGGGGAATGTGAACAATCGATTTACAGGCTTGTGATAATCGATTATCACAACCCACAGGAGTTGGAGCAAAGAAACTGAAGAAACCAACAATCGATTATCAGCATTAAGATAATCGATTATCAGGGGCTGCAGAAGCTTCTCAAAAGTCAGGCGCAAACCAGCAACAATCGATTATCTACTATAAGATGATCGATTATTTAAGCCTGCAGAAGTTAAAGGCAATTCAGGCGCAAACTCTAACAATCGATTTACAACCAGGTAGAAATCGATTATTGAAGCCTGCAGTTTCTTTGGCGGAGAATCTGAAGACTCAGATAATCGATTTACAGGGAGTGTAAATCGATTATAAATGGCGATTTTTCAAAAATCTAACCGTTACAGAGACGTTGGAAATGCATTTAAGTCACCTTTTGAACTCCCCAACGGATCTCCAGCCCTCTTAACTATAAATTGGTGATATCCCTTCATTTTTTACTCATTCCAATCATCCTCTCTCAAATATTCATCATATTTCTTCAATCCTTGCTATTGTTCTTCAACTCTTAGCCAAATTTTCTGCAATTTTTCTCTTCTCCCTCTCTACTTTGTTGAAATAGAAGGAGGTCAAAGAAAACGATCTCGCACCGGGAAGAACGTTGCTTCCTCCTCGGCTCCTCCTCCACCACCAGCGCACAAGTACCTCGATGGGTCGTTCCTTTGGTTCAACGACCGCGCAGAGGCGACGCGGTTCTCGGAGAAGTTTGAACACCGGGAAATTCTCCCTCCCCGATTCTCCACCGCCCGCTTCATTCATGACTCCATTCCACGTGAGGCACGGGTTATCCTCGAACGTGGAAACTTCCTCGACCTCCTCTACATCAAGAAGGCCAATTATCACCCCTTTCTTGTTCGAGCCTTCTACTCGAACTTGAAAAAGGATGAGGACGGAGCATTGATCTCTAACGTCAACGGGGTGGACATTTATTTGAATGAGGAAAACATTCAAATCCTCACCGGGCTTCGTCGGGACTGAGAGGATCTCGGGCTCTACGTCGGAGAAGAAGGAGCACAGTTCAATGAGACCGCTCTCTTGGAGGAAGTGGGCATCCGACACTTCGTCCCCACTCCCCAACAGCGGCGCCCTACGATTGCTTCAATGAGTCCCGTGTTTCGATTCATTTTCTATGTTTTGACACAGATTCTCAAGCCTAGGAAGTTCAATCACACCACTCTCTCCCAAGAGGACACGAAAACGCTCCATGCGATAATTCACAACGCTAACATCAATTGGTGTAAATTTGTGATGACTCACATGTTTAGCGCCACCTCCGACGATCGGCCGCTTCCCTACACCCTCCTCGTCATGGCGATTCTTGATGAGTACAGCATCAAGACCGACGTTGGGCCCAAGACAAAGGGGACAAAGCATTGGGAGATTAACGAGTCTTCCTTCCACCCGGGAACCGATGAAGCTACGTTCCTGCAGCCTCGTCCTCGCTTCTAACCGAGAGCCACTGCCTCAACCGCCACCACTTCGACCAATCCTTCTCTTGCCGAGCAAATGGCAGCCTTGACCGCCACTCTCTCTCGGATTGACACCAACGTTTCCAAAACGGCACACAACGTCAATATCTTGAGCCGTGAGCTTCACGGGTATTTTGACTTTGTCAATTACCCGTACGCTCAAATGGTCCCCTACGTTCGTCCACCGAATTTCGGAGGTGAACAAAGTGGGACTCAAAACGTTGGTAGGGACGACGTAGTGGACGAAGACGAAGGAGAAGAAGAAGCTGATGATGATGATGATGATGGCGATGGTGATGAAAATGAAGAAGAAGAAGAAGACATTGACGGAGAACAACTTCTCAATGATCTTTCCCCAGATTTCTAGAGGTCTAGCTCTACTTTCTTCTCTTCCTCATTTTATCTTCTTTTAATATGCTTTCGTTATGTACTCCGCTATTTCCCTTAATTAATTAATAAAAATCTTTATGATTTTTATTGTTAACAATCTTTTTGTTAATGTCAAAAGGGAGAAGATAAGGGCTATGCATATATTAAGGGGGAATTTTTTTTTAAGGGGGAATTTTTATTAAGGAGGAATTTTTTTCAAAAAGATCAAAACCCTATGCATATCCCCGTCTTGTTTGCCATTATCAAAAAGGGGGAAATTGTTGGAACACACTTTGTACGATACACTAAAGTCGTGTTCATTTCTGACAGGTTTTGATAATTGCCAAACAGCCGTGGATATAAAGAGTTTCGTTGAATAATTCAAGGCGTGAAGAATGGCTTGGAACAAGACCTAAAAGACTCAAGGAGAAGATCAAGAATTGAAGACTTAGTCGAGTCGGTCTTTTGTGATCAAAACCGACAATAAATTCAAGTCTCGGTTCTCAAAACGTCAAAACAATTTTTACAAATCATAAAACATTTTTTGTGCATCAAAACAAACATTTTTGATGATTTCTTTTATTGTTAAAATCCCTGGTCCTTGCTCGGAACCGAAACCACCTAAGTCGGCGTTCGGCTTTCGGCGTTCGTTTTTTGGCGTTCGGTTTTTGGCGCCCGATCCAACTCCGTGGTTTTCAATATTTTAAACCCTATTTTCACCTATGAGCATTTTTAAAATGTTCTCAAATAATTATTTTATAAAAACCACTTTTGTATCTTGGTCAATCGGTCTAACACGTGAAAAACGGTCAAAACCGTACGCACGTATTGTACGACCTTGGAGACTTGGTTTTTACCAAAAAAGTCTTGTTTTCACTATTTTATACCATATAAAATATTTTTCAAACCTGGTTTTTACTTTTGGGAACACTTCGTTTTTGGACCTCAGATTTTCAAAACGGGTTTCAGCTGGCTAGACTTTAGCTGAGTGATAATCGATTATCACCTTAGTGACAATCGACTATCGGCCCCTGCAACTTTGAACTCCCAAAGTTCTGAAGCACGCAATAATCGATTATCACTTATGCAATAATCGATTATCAGTCTTTGCAGCCAAAACCCAGATTCTTCTCAGAGGACCAATAATCGATTATCTGGGTTACCGTTGTCCTCCAACGGATAGAATTTTAAATTTTTGGACAAGGAATCTTTTGATAATCGATTATCAAGCTTGGATAATCGACTATCAGCCTGTGTCCCTGAAAAATTTGTCTTCATCCTGTTGGAAATTCTAGCAATGGGTTTATCCCATTTTGGGCTATAAAATGGCACCCAAATCCTCTCATTTTACACACAATTCTTCAACATTTCAATACTCTTTCATTGCATAATCATTCCAAATTTTCTTAGCTATTTGAGAGCCAATTCTTGAAGAAATTGTCGTGTTCTTGAGCGTTTACTAGTTCACTCATATCTACTCTTTGTGAGAGTCTTATTCGTGAGTGTTTAAGTGTTTTCATACACATTAAGGGAGGTTGTTCCCTTGTTGTAAACTCGAAGGAAGTTCCTTGTTCCTTCGTGAGAAGTCTTGGAGTGCGGTATCTCCGAGCAAAGGTGTTGAGGCTCGTGTGACTCAGGTTCTCAAGTTGTATCAGTTTGTTAAGCACCCTTAAGCTTAACGGAGTTAGTGTAGCTCGAGAGAGTCTCTCGGGGGCTGGTTTAGCCACACGTTGTGGTGAACCAGGATAAAATTCGGTGTGCTCCTTCCTTACGCTCTTTACTTTAACGCTCTCGTTTTTAATTTCCTACGATTTTGTTTTAAACGCTATTCACCCCCCCTCTAGCGTTGGGGCTTTATTCTAACAAAAAGGAAACCTTAGATTTTATTTGTAATTGATATCCTTCTGAGAGCACCGGAAATACACATAAAACCAGACTCTGTTATGGGGCGTTTAATGTCTACTCAGCGTTAAACGCCGCCCCCCTTTACCGTTAAAGGGGCATCACCCCTGCTGCATTAAACATTTAACACGGAGAAAAGGAGAGGGAGAGAGCCATTGAGGCCCAAATGGCTTTAATGCCGTCAGGTAATTTTTATTGATAATTTCAATATTATAAATACCCCTTATTTTTAACACAATAAACATTCACAACCTATTCTCATTCTCTCCATATTTCCTCCAAAAGTATATTTTATTTTTTAATTCTCTCTATAAAATATTCAAAAAATGGGATTATCTTCATCTAACGATGAAAAGAGAGCCCTCATTTTTTGTTGTTTGGCGACGAGTTGTTATTAATGGTGGCAACAATGTTGAAACACGGGCTTGTCACGTTTTCGTACTAAAGCCGTGTTCGTTTTTGTAACAGGTTTTGATAATGCCAAACCGTGGTGATCAAGTCGAACATTGAATATACAAGGCGAAGAACGAAGATAAGAGCAAGAGCTAAACAAAGACCAAGAACGAAGACCTTAGTCATAGTATTGAGTCGGTCTTTATTGTGATCAAGACCGACCCAATCTTTACACCTTGGCTCTTTAGGCTAAAATCTCTCATTGAATTTCTTACATCATAAAAATGTTTTTCAAACTTGTTTAATTCATTAAAAACACTTGGTGGTCGCCCAAACCAAAAACCAAGCCATCCAGTGTTCGGCTTTCAGAAACCAGCGTTCGGCTTTCGGTTGTCGGGTTTGGTTTTTGGCATCCGAACCAACCAAGTGGTTTTTGGCATGTTTAAACGGTTCTCCACCAAAAACACTTTGAAAACCATCTCTCGCTTTTAGTCGTTTGACAAAAACCACGCAAAACGGCGTAAACTTGGCTAGACGTGGTTTTTACTCAAATAACGTGATTTTTAAAGTGTCTCACTTGATTTCTTAGCCATATACATCAAATAAGTGTTTTAAACACTTGGTTTTTATTTTGGAGAACTTTGGATTTTTCGGTCGGTTTTTGCATCGGTTGGCTAGGCCGTGGTTAAGGCAAAAACCATAGGTTTTTGGCTAACCACCCACCCAGCGATGGGAAGAACATCCCATCGATGGGTAAGCGGCCCCTTTACCAAACCAACTTCCAGAACCATGCCAAACAGCGATGGCAGGTTCTACCCATCGCTGTTAAAGCCTTAGTCCAACATTATCACAAGGCAGAATGCCCTTACCCAGCGATGGGAAGCTTTACCAATCGATGGGAACCCAGTGATGGGAAGCTTTACCCATCGATGGGAACCCAGCGATGGGAAGGCTTAACCATCGATGGGAAGGCATGACCTTTGTATGTCATTTAAGGTTGATTCTTTCCATGTTTGGAAGTCAACCTCCCACCCAGCGATGGGAAGCATGTACCCATCGATGGGTAGGTGGCCGTTGGCTTCAAAACTGAAGGAAAATTGGCCTACCAGCGATGGGTAAGGTCCAAATCTTTTCAATCCCATAAATCAAGCTAATCACCCCTTTAATGCATTGGTCCGTTGGAGCCTATTTTGGCACTATAAAAAGGGGTGTTTGGGTCTGCTTTTCTCATCAATTCAACTTCACAACATTCATACTTTCATTGCATTCAAATATCATCATTTTCCATAGCTTTCTAGAGACATTTTATGTGGAGGTTGAGTTGTTCTTGAGCGTACTTAGTTTACTCATAATCTACACTTTGAGAGAAAGTATTTCTCTCGGTAGATTCAAAGGAAGGGCTGTTTCCTTTGAAGGACTCGTTGAGGTTCGTGTAACTCGAACTCTCAAGTTGTAACGGTTTCTTAAGCACCCGCAAGCTTAACGAGATAGTAGTGTAGCTCGAGAGAGTCTCTCGGGAGGCTGGATTAGCCACACGTTGTGGTGAACCAGGGTAAAATTCGGTGTGCCTCTTACTCTTCTCTTTACTTCTCTTTTAAGTTTTTACTTCCTGAGATTTCTACGATCAAACGCTATTCACCCCCCCTCTAGCGTTGGTCTTTTATTCTAACAATTGGTATCAGAGCCTAACTCGCATCTAAACTTAACCGTTTGAGAGTAAAGCGATCATGGGTTCTTCTTCTAGAAATCTTTATACAGGAATTGGAGAAGGTCAATCAACATCTAGGCCACCGCTTTTTGATGGCACCAACTACACATATTGGAAAGAGCAGATGAGAATTTATATCCGCTCAACCAACTTCCAGTTGTGGTTGGACATCAAAAACGGCGAAGAAACGCCAATGAAGAAGGTCGATGAAAAACTCGTTCCAAAGACCGAAGACGAATTTGATGCCGAAGGCAATCAACATGCTGTACTGTGCGGTCAATCCTGATGATTATCGCAAGATCTCTTGCTGCACCACTGCAAAAGAAATGTGGGACAAGCTGGAAGTCACATATGAAGGTACGGACCAAGTTCGGGAAGCCAAAATTGACTTCCTAATGTAGGAGTACGAGATGTTCAAGATGAAGGAAGGCGAAAAGATCGATGACATGTTCGATTGGTTCTCAAAGATCATCAACGACCTTCACGCTCTCAAGAAGACGTACGCCAACAAGGACTTTGTGAGGAAAATCCTTCGGAGTCTCACACCCGAATGGAGATCAAAGGCTGACGCAATCTACGAATCCATCGGAGTCTCCAATGTCACCATCAACGGGCTAAGAGGTAACCTCAAAATTTATGAATCTACTATTCTAACTCCGTCTTTGGATGAACAAAAGAAGAAGGGAATAGCACCGAAAGCAACCAAGGAGACCGTGGAAGAAGACTCAAGTGATGATGACAACGAGTTCGGACTCGTCATCAAGAAATTCCACAAATTTATGAAGAAGGAATTTGAGCGCAAAGGAAGAAAGCACAACGGTCCCCCGAAGTGCTATGGCTGTGGTGAGATAGGCCACATCAAGCCGAGGTGTCCAAAAGGCAAAAGCGGCAAGGACAAACCTGGCCTCAAAAAGCAACGCGCTTACATCTCATGGGGTGGCGACTCTAGGGATGAGTCAACGGATCAAGAAGAGGAAGAAGCCGCCAACCTCTGTCTCATGGCACACGAAGACCACGTCAACGAAGTACAAGAGGTATGTACCCCTTCTTCCGACTCTTACACTTTTGAAGAAATGCAAGAAGCTCTTCGAGAGCTTTAGGATGAATTTGTTAGCGCTTCTAAAACCAACAAATCATTAAAGAAACGTCTTTCAACTCTTGAAAATGATTTTGAAAAACTGGAAAGAGATAATGAAAAGTTGAAACAAGAAAATAAATTTTATGGTAAAAGAAGTGCTGACAAACCGGAAAGCTCTTCAAGTGAATGTGAATCTTGCAAAGCTTTAAAAGAAAAAGTTGCAAAACTTGAGAGTACAGTTAAGAAGTTTAATACACCACACAAGGATCTCAATTTACTCCTAGACACTATGCATTTTTCTAAGGAAGGAATAGGTTTTGATAAAAATGAATCTAAAGATAAAAACGTTGAGCATACACCTAGACAACCTACTAAGGCTCAACACAAGAAAGTTAAAAATCAGGATAATAGAAAATCTAGTCAACCTAAGGACACTAGACAACCTAGACAAAAACCTAGAAATGAAAATGTGCATGCTAGACAACCTAGGAAAAATTATCAAAATGATTTTGTGCATAAAAATAATTTTTCAAATAGACAAAATAATGCTAGGACACCTAGAAGAGAGAATTTTCAAAAACCAATATTTTCTCAAAATAGGATGAATATGGTTAGGCCCCCTAGCAACTATTATCAACCTAGGAGGATGCACAACCCAAATGTAGTTTGTCACTATTGCAACAGGGTAGGACATATAGCTCCCGTTTGCTTTAC